TCTAACGGAATCGCCGTTCTTCGAACCTACTAGGGACGTGTTACAACGCGGTGCAGTCGGACATAAATTACAGTACGTGGGCACACCGACCGGGTCGACTACACTTTGGAGGCATGATGTGTACAGCTCGGAGTCCTGAACTTGAATGAAGACTGGCTACAACGCGCTCTGTATCAATAGGAGTCGGGCAAGGACGCGAATACACACGCACTTGGGACGAGATGAGGACGTACTGCGAACGAGTTGGTCGGGTTTAGAACTGGCTTGACCGTATTGTGAACGAGGTAGAACGAGGTTGAGCTGGTTAAGAACAGGTTCAGAACGGCTATGGACGTGCTCGAACTGCTTCGAAACGTTCTCGGGATGAGGTGAACGGGCACTTTTACACGATCTGAACTGGATACAAACGGAGTGCAGACTGGCTAAGAACGAGATAAGAACGAGATAGACGTATTGAGGACTGCTTATGAACGAACTAGCATCGTATTTTACGCCAAACCGTGATCACAGCCCGTTCTAGTATTTTGTTTAGAACGGGGTAGAACGGGATAGAACTACTTTGGTGTGATGGTAGCATAAGGAGGCGACAAACTGGGTCGGAGGTACATGTTAGGCGACTAGGTTGAATCTGCGACGGCGTGGGACGTTGATCATGCCGTCAACCACTGGCATCGTCAACAGTGATAGTGATGACTGCGGTGTAAAATAACCACGAAACAAAATCAGTAATAATCATAAATCTATAAGGGAAGATGTAAATAATGATCGGTTTTTATTGGTTGTTATAGCAACCGCACGAGCCGTTGCTCTGGCTGATGGCTGCGCTTTGAGTTATACATCATTTCGGGTTTCCTCCCACATTACGCTGACACGCCGTGATATGTAAGGAATACTGTTCAAAGCGGGGTAACCCCAACTTACTGATTTTTAAGCATGAGCAAATTGATTGAGGCGCTCATAAAATGTAATGTCTCCCACAGCAGCCTTGATTGTTTATAGTCCAAACTCCGTACAGCCCTTATACTTATCACCGTCTTCTCTACCTGCTTCCGTTATTACTCGACCCACGAAGATCCGGGGTAAAATAGGTCTTCAGCAACCCATGCTTGCCATAAAAGGCGACCTTGCTTCTAAGAGGCGACTAACGGGATCGGGTGGTCAGGCTAGCTGACTTGGTTGATGCATGTCATCGTATCCCAATTGCGTTGATCGATACTCATGATGTCAATCACTGGATTGTCTGGTATAGACTCGATTATTTACAGACCGCTGTCATATAGCTTGAATACTGCTGAGTTCGGTGTAAAACAACAAACCAACCAACCGTTATTACTCCGTTATTTATTTCTGTCGCCGCATATTTGATCCATTATATTGCCTTTTATGATTTTAATCATAATCTTGTGTATTTCAATATAATTTGTTGATTGTTCAATAAATGTGGATATGGTTTTTAACTGATTTCACAATTTAGTTCCATACGTGCCGTTTTCAGGGTAAAACCATTTTTTTGGGAATCAACACTTAACAATAATATCTCGTGCGTGAGTGATTGTTAAACCTCAAACAGTCCATACCATTCGGTGAGTTTGGTGTGCTCGATGAGTGAGTTAGCTGGTTGAGTTTGGTGAGTTGGATGGGTGAGTGAACTCGGTGAGCTTTGGCGAGTGACTGGACTCGGTGAGTTGGGTGACTGAACTTGGCTTGTAGGATGGGTGAGTGAGCTGGTTCAGTTGGATGAACGTGGTGAGCTGGTTGACTTGGGTGAACTTTTTGTTCAATACAGGGATATGTTCAATACGCGAATCTATTCAATACACGGATATTTTCAGTACAGAGATGAGTTCCATACAGCGATCTGTTTATGACTGGGATCTGTTCAATACAGGGATCTGTTCAATACAGAGATCTGTTCGATACAGGGATCTGTTCAATACAGGGATCTGTTCAATACAAGGATCTGTTCAATACAGGGATTAGTTCAATATAGGGATTAGTTCAATACAAGGATCTGTTCAATACAGGGATCTGTTCAATACAGGGATCTGTTCAATACAGAGATCTGTTCAATTCAGGGATCTGTTCAATACAGGGATCTGTTCAATCCAAGGATTTGTTCAATATAGGGATTAGTTCAATACAAGGATCTGTTCAATACAGGGATTAGTTCAATACAGGGATCTGTTCAATACAAGGATTTGTTCAATATAGGGATTAGTTCAATACAGGGATCTGTTCAATACAGAGATCTGTTCGGTACAGAGGCGTGTTCAATACAGTGATGTGTTCAATACAGAGATCTGTTCGGTACAGTGATGTGTTCAATACAGGGATCTGTTCAATAGAGGGATTAGTTTGATACAGCGAAGTGTTTATTAATGGGATCTGTTCGATACAGGGATCTGTTCAATACAAGGATCTGTTCAATACAGGGATCTGTTCAGTACAGGGATGTATTCAATACAGTGATGTGTTCAATACAGGGACCTGTTCAATACAGGGATGTGTTCAATACAAGGATGTATTCAATACAGTGATGTGTTCAATACAGGGATAAGTTCAGTACAGGGATGTGTTCAATCTGGGGTGTATTCGACACAGGGACCTGTTCAATACAGGGATGTGTTCAATACAGGGATGTGTTCAATACAAGGATGTATTCAATACAATGATGTGTTCAATACAGGGATGTATTCAATACAGGGACCTGCTCAATACAGGGATGTGTTCAATACAGGGATGTATTCAATACAGTGATGTGTTCAATACAGGGATAAGTTCAGTACAGGGATGTGTTCAATACAGGGATGTATTCAATACAGGGACCTGTTCAATACAGGGAACATATACACTTTCCCCACACTCCTCTATGTCACGATAAAGTAAAGGTGTACATGACCTTTGGTTATCAAATTTTATTTGAAAATTTTGGTTCGGCACAATTTTACAACATTTCAAACATGGTAGGGGTCATGCTGTGTGTACAGTCTTTTCTTAACACAGTCCTCATTGAAAAAAATGATCTTCTTTATTTTTAAATTATATACCAAGCCACAGATTTCAATTACATAAAAAATACAAACACGGTATACTACTTTTTAGCCCCTCAGTTTATATTTATCACTATTGTTTATGTATGTAATTTAGCATTAGTTCACGATTCGACGTGAAACGAAGAAAGGCAGCCGTTGAGAGACATTATTAAATGCTGCGCCGATCTAATGACTTGATATGTACTCAATTAAAATTAAGTTTGTTATTAATTTGCATATAACCTGGTTGCCTTAATGCAGCACCGCACCCGGCCCATAACCTGTTTGTCTTAGTGTAGCATCGAACCCGAGCGATAACCCGAATGTCTCAGTGGAGCACTGTACACGAACAATAATCTGACTGTTTTAGTGTAGCATCGAACCCGACCCAGTTCACGATACTGCGCCAAACATCAAAGTCAGGAAGCCGTTGATTACCATAAGTAAACCGATAAAGTGACTTGATATATATTCAATAAAAGGGCGGTCGGGTGGCCTAGTGGTTAAAGCGTTCGCTTGTCGCGCCGAAGAACCGGGTTCGATTCCCGACATGGGTACAATGTGTGGAGTCCATTTCTGGTGTCCCCCGCCGTGCTGGAATAAAACTGCTAAAAGCGGCGTCAAACCATACTCACAGACTCTGTCAATCAAAAGTAAGTATGTTACCTATTTACAGCAACACCTTCAAACAGGGAAACAGTGTCTTTGTAAACATTTGATACACTCAATAATAAGTTGAGTCGGATGTATCAAACCCGGAAACCACAAATTTCCCTGGTTCTTCAGAGGTTCGAGAAAACAGCGTTATTTTAATAAACTTATGAAGTTGCTGTGAGTTGTGGCGTGAGTGGTGTTCTGGTACGAACGTACTGTTCCTTTTCCTCATCCTGGTAACCAACTCGTGAAAATCCGGGTTGGAATAGGTCTTCAGCAACCCATGCTTGTCGTAAGAGGCGACTACCGGGATCGGGTGATCAGGTTCGCTGACTTGGTTGATGCATGTCATCGTATCCCAATTGCGAAGATTGATGCTCATGATGTCAATCACTGGATTGTCTATCCAGATTTGATTAGCTGGAATACTGCGGCTTTTAACAACAAACAAACAAATCACCCCTTGCATTCAGCTTCATTCCCATGATTCAGTCACCCTCTTACACGGTTTGTCAAGTATAAACAGACCCAAGCATTAACTGCATGCAGTTAATGAGTGAGTGAGTGAGTTGGGTTTAACGCCGCTTTTAACAGTATTCCAGTTATATCGCGGCGTGTCAGCTTACTGTGGGAGGAAAGCCCGAAGTGATGCAGGTCTCAGACGTTTACTACTTCGGTGAAACCCACGAGCACGGGTATGGTGCTGACAAACCTAGAAACATAATCGGGGCGAACCGGGATTCGAACCCACAATCATAGGTTTCTGGCGTGCCCAAGGGACGCAACTCTGCACAGCGAATCGCGGCGCCTCAGACGACTGGGCCACCCGTGCCCCCGCATGCAGTTAATGACGCAGACAGAAGACCATATGGCTACATGGTGTGACCAGGTTGACTGTGGGTCAAACCTGGTTTATCTGGTCCAGACAACATCATGTTAACACGCTGATAACGATAGGGTATCTCTGACTGCAGTATGAAACAACATTCACTCACTCCCGGGTCAGAGTTGTAGCCTTGTGGTTAAAGCGTTCGTTTGTCATGAGGAAGAACAGGGTTCGATTCCCCTCATGGTACATATTCATGTTGATAAATGTTGTTTCAGATTTTTCTTTCGGTAAGTTAAACATCACCCCTTCGGACTTCGGGTTTTTCCCCCACCATCGTGTTGACATCCTCAGCCTCACCCTGGCAGTCGTTGTAACAACGTTGTCGTTGTAACGCATCACGACAGGACACCAGATTCAAACATTGAATCCATTTGGGAAATCGAAATCGTCATGAGAATACCAGACAACCATACCAGACAACCATACCAAACAAATAGAAGAATTCTTTAATTGGTATACAAAGAAGACATTGAGAAAAATACTATGTTGATGTATGTGAAGCCAATTAGGTCAGTGTTATGAAGAGCATAAAGGTGATATTTAAAAACAGGTCCAAATTACTCCCTCGTCATTCAACCAGAGGAGGATGACACTAGGTCTTGTGATTTCAGAGCAGATAAAAAAGCAACACAAAAAGACCTAACGAATGAATCAAACAAATGTGAACAAACTTATGTTATTGATAAATAGAAATGTCTCCGGGTTTCTTCATCTCAATAGATGCGCATTGGTTTTCCGATCTGACTTCTTCACTTCATCAACTTTCAAATGAGTTTTACTGTAATTTATCCCTCTCTTCTGTCGAACTCTCAAAGATCCATATCCCCTTCTTCCCCAACCCTTCCAGACCGGAGATCCAAGGGTTGATCCTGGCCTCCCTCTTCCCCTACCCTGCCCAGACCACCCTCGCCCCTTTCCTTTTCCTAACGGACGTGTTATAGCTGTTGTTGTCGTGACTGGAATAGATGTAACACCTTCACGTATCCTCCTCCACTCTTCTGTTGTCGTGGATTCATCATTAACATGCACTGCAACAGTTGTGATCTTTTCTGTTGTTGTCGTAGTTTCCTCTGCGACAGACGTTGTAAGTATAGTAGTTAACGTCATACTTTCTTCGGTTGTTGTTGAAGCTTCCCCTGAGTTTGCAGTAGGTATTGATTTTGATGTGGTTCTTTCTTCTGTAGCTAACTTTTCCGTTGCTTCCTCTTCTTCCCGACACCAGGAATCTGTAGCCATCGTATCGTAGGTTGTAGTTGGAATTGTAGACCATGCTACATGACCTTCAGTACCAGAAACACCTTCGGTAGTGGTAATAGTTGTCGAAGGTTCTCCTGTACTCATTTCTGGAGTTGTCGTTGTCTTGGCCGTTGGTCTTTCTGTACTAGAAACCCCTTCTGTGGTAGTAGTCGACAATTCTTCTGGACTCATTTCTGGAGTTGTCGTTGTCGTGGTCGTTGGTCTTTCTGTACTAGAAACCCCTTCTGTGGTAGTAGTCGACAATTCTTCTGGACTCATTTCTGGAGTTGTCGTTGTCGTGGTCGTTGGTCTTTCTGTACTAGAAACCCCTTCTATGGTAGTAGTCGACAATTCTTCTGGACAAATTTCTGGAGTTGTCGTTGTCGTGGTCGTTGGTCTTACTGTACTAGAGACCCCTTCTGTGGTAGTAGTCGACAATTCTTCTGGACTCATCTCTGGAGTTGTCGTTGTCGTGGTCGTTGGTTTTTCTGTACTAGTAACCCTTTCTGTGGTAGTAGTCGAAAATTCTTCTGGATGGGTGGTCCTTTCTGGTGTTGTTGTCGTAGTAGTTGTTGTAGATCTACGTGTAGTTGTTGTAGTTGCTCTTTTAGTAGTTGGCGGTGTTATTGCAGTTGTTGTGGTTGTTGGAGCTTGTGTGGTATGAAAGTCATTCCTTAAAGCTTCTGTAGAAGTAGTTGTCTCTGAAGACCGTTTGTGTCTGTGAAGCTGGTCAACAAACGAAGGGATTGATGGTAATCTGGTTCCCGGATGCTCTGTGATACACCAGAAAGGTCCATCCTTGACTGCCTGGGTCAGTGTGGTGCAGTTCTGAACAACCTCGGCACATCTCTTGCCATTCAGGTGCCTGAAAACACAATCATAATCATCATTATCACCATCATCATATTAATCATTATTGATGTTCTCGTTGTGTTTTTCTTTTGTCTTTTTTGTTGAGCCAGTTTGGCCAGGTGTTTGGTCTCCTGTCATATTAAACATTTTTACAGGTTCCCGCCGATCACTTAATGAAATAATTCGACGGGATCCGAGAAGTGAGCTATCTGGATTCTATCAAATAACGGAATATACAGTTAAATTATAACAATGTGTTCTATCATGCTGCCGGAAACCAGAATTATTTTCAGTTCAATGGAAAAGAATTTTGTGCAGGATCTAACGGAATCATGGAATATCGTTATAGGATTACCTTTGTAGTTTCAGTTTACCTGGTTTGTATTAGTAGTAGAAATTAGTAGTAGAATATACAACCTCACTGACATTGTTATAATATTATTATTATTATTATTATTATTATTATTATTATTATTATTATAATAATATATATAAAAATTAATCGGTAAATAATAAAGATGAGTGAGTGATTGATTTTGGTTTTACGCCGCTTTTAGCAATATTCCACTAAAATCGGCGGGGGACACCAGAAATTGGCTTCACAAAATTTTAATCGTATGTGTCCGGAATCCATTTCATTAATAATTCAAGCAATCACAGTTACCCTTTGTGCTTCATTTATAATCCTACTGTGTGCCGTGCAGTAAGCCGTTAGTCATACATATCATATGTTTGTTATTGCCGCCATGTGTTGCAGTATATGGATATCCATTCTGTTATAGATAGCTCGGGTGACCCAGTCGTCTAAGGCGCCGCAAAAAAACATGTGCGTTAACGGGATTCCATATGCATTGTTTAGCATCGTGCTGACAACAACCACTCAGAAAAACAACAAAATTACGCAATTATTCAACATTATGAAATGCCACGCCTGTCCGAAAATGAGCGTCTGCGAGCCATCGGTATGCTTGAAGCAGGATCGAGTCAACGTGATGTTGCAAGACAATTTAACGTCCACAACACCATTTGGTGTTTATTGCAACGTTGGCAACAGACGAATGCAGTCAGAGACCATCCTCGGAGTGGCAGGCAACGCGTAACCAATAATCGACAAGACAACTGAATTCGAACAACACACCTACGAAATCGATTCCGGCAGCATTATGGTATGGGGTGAGATTACAGCAAGACACAGGAACCGTCTGATAGTGGTAGAGGGAAATCTCAATTGACAGCGCTACCGCGACGAGATCATCGGCCCTGTTGTTCTACCGTTTTTGCGTCGTCATGGCCCAGGCATTACCTTTCAACATGACAACGCCCGGCCTCACATTGCTCGACTTGTTCAGGATTCTCTTCAAGAAAACAACGTGAATGTCATCCCCTGGCCGGCTCGCTCCCCTAATCTCTCACCAATCGAGCACATGTGGGATGAGATGGATCGGCGCCTTCGACGTCAACCATGTGTTCCACAGACACTCCAGGAACTTCGAAACATGCTCCAGCAGATATGGACAGATATCCCACAGGACTTTGTGCGACGCCTGGTCCATTCCATGAGACGATGTAGTGTTGCTTGCATCGCAACCAGAGGTGGACACACACGCTATTGATTTGTAAATTGACATTTTGGCATGTTCATGGGTTTTTTTTATGAAATCACACATTTTCTGAAGTCAGTATGGCAAAATCAACCATTTGCACACTTACAGGAGTATTTTATCTGTTGCAAGCCGAAATTGTTTTAGATTTGCATTTGCAACTTTGCATTAAATCTTATTCAATGTGACAGGAACTTTTTTGTTCAGTATATAACTGGAATAAGGTTAAAAGCAGGGTTAAACCAAACTCACTCACTCACACATTCTGTTGTACATTCTATGGAACTACATGGATGATACCTTTAACATTCGCGCTTTGGTTTGTGCCATTCTTCGTGTTTGTTTCTATAACAATGACAGAACCCTTCTATATTCATAAGAAATCTCCGCAGAAAGCAGCCCGACTTTATCACAAACATGTGTTTATGAATCACCATCAAATAGTGATGATATCATGTGTTCGCTAAAAGGCGAGCGTATCCTACACCACCGGTGGCACCCGTCACAAACACATACAAAGTCAAGTCAAGTGTTCACTTGAACAAACATAGAGGCATATGCTTCGAGTCAAAGTGGGGTATTGCATCAGACATTATTTTGGTCACTTTTGCGTCAGATTTGGAAAAGTCCTCCACGTGTATTTCATAAAACGTTTTGGAAGATTTACTGAGGCCTTGAATGTTTTACACTGATCAAGAACATTTGAGACGCTTTCGTAGAAAGAGTCTGCTTTATTGTTCCTGAAAAGTTGTGAGGTGAGGTGAGGTGAGGTGAGGTGAGGTGAGGTGAGGTGAGGGTTTAACGTCGCGTCCAAGATTATTGCACTTATATAGCGACGTGCAGGAAGGTGTTTTCGTGTGTGTCTGCTTGCACAAGTCCGGACTGATGCCCATTAATAGTACTAGCTCACTGAGATACCATGCCGCAGTTTAACATGAATACCCCACTCAGATACAGTATACTGACTCCGAGCCGACCAGTGTTTGTTTCAGACCCTTAATGCCGAGCGTCAGGCAGGGTAACAACAAGTACCATTTTTTAACGTCTTTTCGTATTACGCGGCCGGGAATCGAACCCCGGACCTTCCGCACTCCTGGCGGACGCACTACCACTAAACCTACAACTAAAACTATATGTTAATTTTGAATTGAGCTGTTGGGTACAAGTGCAGAAATTCTGCTGCTTACATGATATAGAGAAACATGAAAGAAATGTGTTAGCTTTGCAACACGGGGAGAGAGGGGGGGGGGGGGGGGGGGGGGGACGAATGGTACAAAACAGAAACAAAAAGAGATACGCCTACAGCCATCGTCGGTGACGTCAATTTACGTCTTCTATGTTACGTAAACGCTGTTTAGTGACCCATACAGGATGGCCCAGAGCAGACGACCGGAAGACGCCAGACTGAGGCTCTAATAGGAACACGCGGGGGGTCGGGGTAGCAAAGTCTGCCACACACTACCCCAGGACTGGAACGTTGGAGAGATTTTCCCTATGTTATAGGACCAAACTTAACACAACAACCACTGACAGACAGTCACAACCTTCAAGTACTGTGAGTACATGCCCATTCAAAGTTGACTCCGAGATAACCATAGAAACCAAGAACGTGCTCAGTATTGTGTGTCATCGGCATGTAGCAGGAAGGAGAGTTGCTATCTATTCTACTCTTCCACAAACCAAAGAAAACTCTGTTACAACTTGTAATGTATGTGTATCACCACAGGGTAGTGTACCGCGTGGATCGCGTTTAACTGACAATCCTAAGTCTGTGGTTCAAACATATGGCTACAATGAGATTAACACACCCACACAAAGCAAAGTAGCTTGCAGCAGCACATTTGTTGGTGAGAACCACATCTCGACATTGGTGTCACTGAATGACTCACTGACCACTCGTTACTCTAGTCAGGTTCATATAAATCCCTCAAACTTTGTTGACGTCAGTCATGAGGATTGTATTACCAATACCCAGAATATTGTAAACAATATTTACAATGGGAACTATGTACATGTAAATAATGACCAAAATTTGGACTAAAATTTCCACGTCGTTACAGAATCTGCTGATGACAAGCCAAAATACGACGGTGCAAATCCTGATCAGTGCAATACCTTCCGACATGCTAACGCCCCCAATTCAGAAGCAACTTTCGGTACACGTGTTTATTTCAAGTATCAGTGATGATAGTACCAACTTAGGCACTGAAAGTATAACTGATAGTGATAATGGACTGAATGTTGTTCGTCTCGCAAGTCTTAATGTATGTGGACTCAGAAGACGACTTGAATTCCCCGAATTTGGAAATTTTATTCACGCTAATGATATAATAGTCCTTCAAGAAACGAAAACGGATGTATTACATGATCTGCAAATTGAATGCTATAAGCTGTATTTGCAACATAGAACAGGTGCAGGGAGAAGATCAGGAGGTACTGGCCTTGCCGTAAAGGATCATTATTGTAAATACATCACTCAAGTTGAAGAGGTAAATGATTTCTGTATATTTGGAACCGTAAGGAATGGATTACATTATCGTCAAGTCGCAAAGAATTATAAAAAGTGTGCCACAAGACACATTAATAAACACAAACGCGAAATTAGCACCCAACTAAGGAGAAAAGCTAAAGCTTCCCCAAAAGAGTTCTGGAAAATATTAAACGGGACAGACAACACAAATGATGGACCTATCCCGGATGTAGGCAGATTTTACGAATTTTTTAAGGACATCAATTCTACACGATATGGTGATGATGAGTTACATTACATTACTGTATTGAATAAAGTTATATCATCAGAAGAAATAAAAGAGGGAATTGGATCTTTGAAACGAAATAAAGCCTGTGGGTTAGATTTGATAGATAATAGTTATTTGATTGACGCATTTGAGTTGTTACTGCCCCTACTCACATCGCTATTCAATCTTGTATTCACCACGGGTATACTCCCTAATACATGGTCAACTGGTATTATGAAGCCTATATACAAGAGAAAGGGTGACCCGTTAGACCCTGCTTCTTATCGACCTATCACAATACTGAGTTGTCTTGGTAAGCTATTTACCGGTATTTTAAACAATAGATTTACTAACTATTTAAATGTGAATAGCATATTTTCTCCAGCCCAATTGACAATATTTTTGTTTTGAATATGCTCATAAATATACTAAAAAATAATAAAGAAAAATTATAAAGCTTTTGATAATGTCTGGAGGGTGGATCTCTGGTCAAAATTGTTAAATTCTGGAAATACGGGTAAATTTTTAACATTAGTTAAAAACATGTATAGTGACATTAAGTCATGTGTTCAAATAGGCAAACACACTTCTAACTTCTTCCCAAGTTACACTGGAGTTCGCCAGGGAGAAAATTTATCTCCCCTACTATTTTCAATTTTCCTTAACGACCTCGAACCGTGGTTGATAGAAAACTGTTGTCAAGGTGTCAAGTTAACGCTGTCAGAGGAAACATTTACTCTCTGTGTACAGTTCCTGTTACTGCTGTGCGCTGATGACATAATTCTATTTGGTACCGATCCTGGATCTCTTTAAACTCACTCTTGTTATACTGTCGAAAATGGAAACTAACGGTTAACATATCTAAAACTAAAGTTGTTGTTTTGGCAGTGGTACTACAAAGAGAAAATTCGCCCCCTTCATTTTCGACAATAAAGAATTAGAAACAGTAGACTTCTATGATTATTTAGGAATAAAATTCAATAAAAATAGGAAATTGGGACTTGCCATCAAAACTTTAACCGAGAATGCCACAAAATGTATGTACTGTCTCCTGAAGAAAGCCAGAAATATCAATCTCCCACTCGATCGATTATAAAAGCATTTGATGTTATTGTGGTACCAATCTTACTGTACGGCGCCGAAGTGTGGAGATTTAAATGTTTGAATATGGTTGAAAAAGTTCATTTAAAATTCCTTAAATTAGCGGCTGGTTTGAAATTATCAACTCCTTCTTTTATGGTCTATGGTGAATTAGGCAAGAGCCCCTTAATATTAGAGTAGCTAAGAGAATTATAGGTTTTTGGCTTAGACATATCATACGATCTCAACAACAAAAAGTTTTCGACTCTAATATATCAATTCTTAAGGATGGATGCTCACGTAAACCCCAATATTCACCCTTGGTTATGTAATCTAGAATGTCTATTAAGCTCCTGTGGCCTGACCCATGATATGCCATGTAATTTCCAAGTGGCTTGTCTCGTCTGTGGAAAGAATATTGACCGATCATTTTCTACAATCAATTGAGAAGTTCAATATTGTCGAGTTCAAAAGGTTTCTATTATAAATATCTTAAAGAAATGCCATTATTTGAAAACTATCTCTATGTACCTAAATCTATTTATTACCCGCTCTTAAAATTTAGCACTAATAACCACAATTTACCAGTCGAGACTCGCCGCTGGAATAATGTACCAAGAGAACAACGTCTATGTTCACTCTGTAACTCCCCAGCAATAGCAGATGAATTCCATTATATATTTCGACATCAAGTTTATGATAACAAAATACTTGCACTTATTCTTAGAAGATATTTAACTTGGTCAAATGTGTTTTCATTAATAAGCCTATTTTCAACGACCAAACTAAAGGAGCTGAAACGTCTATCAAAATACGTATTATTTGTATTTAACACTTTGAATGCTAAATCTAAATGCACACAGCCGTCTTAATGTACATATTATATTCATCTCTGTACTTTATGTATGCTTTTGTACCACCGTCGGTGGTCTATGGAGAATAAAGAATCTGAATCTGACAACGAACACCGGACGCGGGGCATATTCCCTCCTCAACTTTACTTAACAAATAATAATTCCTTCTTCAGTATATCAAACACGGCCAACGGCTATATTGTTAGAAAAACCAATCAATTACTACGCTAGAGTAAGGTTAGACAGCTACAACAATTTAAGTGATGTATTATAAAACAGACACAAGACTGTCAAGTTAACCTGACACATTATTTAACGACAAGCTGTTTCCTCTTTGAGTCATAATGTTTTAACGACCATGCAATGTATGGTGCTATTGAATTAGTGCTCTCATTGCAGCCAAACTGTGAGAGATATAGACTGTATTAGATGAGCGTTTAATCATACTTTTTTATTTGGTTTGTTGTTTTACGCCGAACTCAGCAATATCCCAGCTATATGACGGCGGGTTTTTTTTTTAAATCGAGTCTGGACCAGACAATCCAGTGATTAACATCATGAACATCGATCCACGCCATTGGGATCGATGACATGCATCAACCAAGTCAGCGAGCCTGACCACCCGATCCCGTTAGTCGCCTCTTACGACAAGCATAGTGGCCTTTTACGGCAAGCATCGGTTGCTGAAGACCTATTCTACCCCGGATCTACTGACTACGATACATTCATACTTGTATAAATCTATTTTATATTCATAATTGATAAATGATTTTAGAGACGAATCAGTGTTCTCTAGCAAGAGAAACTATCGAAAACAATGATAGTGTGACGTCACTATCTACTATTATGACAATACATCTCACGTCAACAGTGATGACTTTATTACGTCAACAGACGTATCTGCATTACGTCAGAAATGACAGAGCGTGTGAAATATATCATTACTCACGCCCTCCGTGTGCATTGCTATGAACTTGTTCATCTTCATCTAAATGGTTAATACATATTGATAATTTCTTTATTAGGTGTGTCTTAATAAATACATGCCAGACTGTTTACTCCATACCAAACCATACCATACCAAACTCTATTATTACTTTAGACATATCATATACATGCTAATGTATACATACTAACAATTTCTTTGTTACCTAGGCGGCACGGGTGGCCCAGTCGTCTAAGGCGCCGCGATTCGCTGTGCAGAGTTGCGTCCCTTGGGTACACCAGAAACCTATGATTGTGGGTTCGAATCCCGGTTCCCCACGATTATGTTTCTAGGTTTGTCAGCACCATACCTGTGCTCGTGGGTTTCACCGAAGTGGTAAACGTCTGAGCCCTGCATCACTTCGGGCTTCCCTCCCACATTAAGCTGACACGCCGTGATATAACTGGAATACTGTTAAAAGCGTCGTTAAACCCAACTCACTCACTCACTCTTTGTTACCTGAACTTTATGTTTAGACATAGTAGAGAAGTCGATCCATCAGTATTGAAAACCTTGTCAAGAAGTTAACGGGATCGTATTATGACGTCAATACCCGTACGTTAACAATGATGTTAGTATTACGTCAACGGCGGTCTTCGCGTTATCTTAACAATGCCGTGGAAAAATTGAAATAATTCCTACACTATTCTTACGACATTCAACATTACCATACGTTTTATAGGTTCAACATGTTTTAAGTCAATGCGCATCTATTCACTGAATTTTCTGATCCACCACTTGATTGTCTGTTAACGTTACAGGCCGCCATCACATAGCAGGACTGCACCTGTTCGGCTTCAGGCCACAAAGTGAGTGAGTGAGTGAGTATGGTTTAACGCCGCTTTTAGCAATATTCCAGCAATATCACGGCGGGGGACACCAGAAATGGCCTTCACACATTGTACCCATGTCGGGCATCGAAGCTGGGTCTTCGGCGTGACGAGCGAACGCTTTAACCACTAGGCTACCCGACCGCCCATAAAAAGCACAGTAAATTGTGTGAGTGGTAGGTGGCACCGGTAGTGCAGGACATGCTTACCCTTTTCCACCTGGTGTCAACACTGATTTTCAGTGGTCCATTCACATAATTTTCGCCGCCTTTTTGCCTCTTACACTCAGTGGAATATGTTGCGGCGCATAATCGAGACTGGCTGTATCTGACGTTTAATAATTAGGTAACTCGTGCATCTTGAACTATATTGATACCTGATACCATCACGCACCTACAGACAAATACTCTGTTTGACGAACACACAACTACAAATCCACATTTGCTGACATGATGGGCGCCCTCCGCCAGCTCAGTGATTGGTGTCCTGTATGTCCGACCTGTGGATTAAACAAACATTATCATTCAAGTCTTTGAATGAGTGAGTATGGTTTTACGCCGCTTTTAGCAATATTCCAGCAATATCACGGCGGGGGACACCAGAAATGGGCTTCACACATTGTACCCATGTCGGGAATCGAACACGTCTTCGGCGTGACGAGCGAACGCTTTAACCACGAGGCTACCCGACTGCCCTCAAGTCTTTGAATGGCATCAAGAAGTGATACACGTAAGGAAGAGAATGTATGGATGTCAACTTGGTGATGAGGGAGTAAGTATATACACCGAAACGTTGTGTTCCATATAATAAAGAAGTTGATATCCATAAATTGTCTTCCTCACATCATCACTGACATAGACATAATCAAAAGCCGAGAAAAGGAAACAGTGTAGACCTAGATATACACATAGGCCTGACAATACATATTGATCTAGACGTAGACATAGGCGTACGCGTAGATAAAACTATATTCAGGTTTAGACAGCCTGAGATGTATGCTAAACATGGCTATAGACCTAAACATTGGCTTAGATATAGACACCGACCAGGACATAATTATAACATTTTGTTATTCATAGTTATTTCAAGTGGGTGAGTGAGTATGGTTTTACGCCGCTTTTAGCAATAGTCCAGCAATATCACAGCGGGGGACACCAGAAATGGGCTTCACAAAGTGTACCCATATCGGGAATCGAACCCGGGTGTTCGGCGTGACGAGCGAACGCTTTAACCACTAGACTACCCGACCGCCCCACAGTTATTTCAAGAACATAGGTCCCAACAACTATGCTTGTCGTAAGAGGTGACTAAAAGGATTGTGTGGTCAGATCTGGTGACTTGGTTCATGCAATCATCGCGTCCCAAATGCTTGGATCAATGCTTGTGATTTCTATGACTGGATTGTCTGGTCCAGACTCGATTATTTACAGACCACCGTCATATAGCTGGAATGTTGCTGAGTGCGGCGTTAAACAACAAACAAAAAAAGCTGTACACACACATTGTCCTCGACAACTAGAAGGCGTGAATGAGAGAAGTTCAAGTTACGTAATGCAGGTACGAGATATCAGAGGCGCTTTCAGATGTTCATCGCCAGGTTGACGTCACGTCGTTCTACAGACGTGTTCAAGTTAAACTGTCATGGTACAAATTATAAACTGCATGTTATTTTTTCATTTAAAGAATTATCAACATCAAAGTGGATTTGCTCTATGAAGTTGGGTGAAATTGGGTTTAACGTCGCGTCCAAGATTATTGCACTTATATAGCGACGTACATGTACGCGCGTGTGTGTGGCTGCTTGTACTAGTCCGGACTGATGCCTATTTATAGTGCTAGCACACTGAGATACCATGCCCCAGGTTAACATGAATACCACACTCAGACACAGTATACTGACTCCGAGCCGACCAGTCCTTGTTTCAACCCCTTAATGCCGAGCGCCAGGCAGGGTAACAACAAGTACCATCGTTTAAATTCGTTTGGTATGAGGATCGAACCCCGGACCTTCCGCTCTCCGGGCGGACGCTCTACCACAAGACCACGAGGCGGTCCTTCCTCTATGAAAACTACAATATACTACTCAAAAGAAGTAAAACAACATCCGATTTTTTTCAGATAACTGATTAATCTGTTATAGCTGGTGGGTTTTGCAACACGATGCCTTCCAATTGTGGGTGTTCTTTAACTTGTTTTGAGTAGTATATTGTAGTTTTCATAGGGGAAATCCACTTTGATACAAATAATTCAACGGGCTAAATTCACAACACGTTTACACAATATGTACATTTGGCCATTTGGAAACCCATTCTTACTTACCATGAGAATGAATCTTCAGCGGTTGTAGTACACAGTTCTGACATCTCGCGAGAGTAACGAGACACAGAAGATGGAGGAGTCGCTGCATTACGGAGGAATGTCTGGAAAGAATGACACTAACGCATATGAAGTGATGTACTGTTGACCATTGATCGTCAACAGGTTCGCGCTTCTGCCTACACATGTGCTAGCAGGTTAATTGATCAACTTTGAGCCTTGCATCATCAGCTACGTGTAAATGTGTATTGATGCGTTACGTTAGCGTTACGCATTACCGGGTATTTGAGCCAGAGCATTGGACTAACATTTAGTGCCGGATATAAAATTATATTTTTTTAAACACATACGTCTACAAACTAAAACGTATAATAGAAAGGGAAACCTGGAACAATGCTTTATTTCAGGACTGAGGCAATCTAGACTTGTCAAATCCAACTAGACTTGAGTTGGATTCATTATTTAATTTATTCTCTGGGATGTGGTAGACAGACCACCTTTTCATCATCTTTACATTCTGGGTAATCGTTGCTAAAGAAACAGACACTGAATTATTTTTTTGCAAGCATCAAGATTGGTTCTAGTGTCTTATTTTTACCTGTAAAAGTCAAATGGCACTCGACCAAGTAATACAGAGATTATACTAGCTTCGCAACAACTTAACCGTAACTTTATATGCAACAGATACGCTAAATTAAGAGAGACTTTTCCCCCTTGGTTATCAAATGTGTATTGCAACATGTAAACTGCAAGTAAGCATGTTAAATTATGTTACACTAAGTAGCAATATACTTGAAACATATTTTCTCTCGACGACAAAATTTAAAATTACGTGACATTTGTATTCATGAAATGGAATTGGATTATGGACCACGTGGTCAGAAATACTGTAAACACGTAGAGTCAGTTGAACACAATTTATAAAAAACAGGTGTAATGTATTATGAGACATACAGTATATACATACGGTGTATATGGGAGCTTGTAACTGACCAATGATACGGGTAGGAAACAATGATGCCTGCTTCAAGTCTGATGATCCTGTGAAAAAGATTCACAATATTCACTTATGTGTCTCTTTTTTATTTTCAATTAGGGAGCTTGTAAATAACTGATCATATATACTGGTAGGAAACAATGATGCCTGCTTCAAGTCTGATGATCCTGTGAAAAAGATTCACAATATTCACTTATGTATCGCCTTTTTCATTTTCAATGAGGGAGCTTGTAAATAACTGATCATATACACTGGTAGGAAACAATTATACCTGCTTCAAGTCTGATGATCCTGTGAAAAAGATTCACAATATTCACTTATGTATCGCCTTTTTCATTTTCAATTAGGGAGCTTGTAAATAACTGATCATTTATACTGGTAGGAAACAATGATGCCTGCTTCAAGTCTGATGATCCTGTGAAAAAGATTCACAATATTCACTTATGTATCTCTTTTTTAATTTCAATTAGGGAGCTTGTAAATAACTGATCATTTATACTGGTAGGAAACAATGATGCCTGCTTCAAGTCTGATGATCCTGTGAAAAAGAATCACAATATTCACTTATGTATCTCTTTTTTATTTTCAATTAGGTTCTGGGAGCTTGTAAATAACTGATCATTTATACTGGTAGGAAACGATGATGCCCGCTTCAAGTCTTATTATCCTGAGAAAAAGAATTACAATATCCCCTTTTATATCTCCGTGGTTATTTTCAATATTAACCTATCAGGTGGACATTACGTTGGCCTGAAATGCGTACCTCTGTGTGTCCGGGAACATTTTTAATATAAAGCACCTAACAAACATATCCAATGGAACCTTATTTCATGAAGGATTCATGGATACCCTTTGAACTCTTATTTGCACTACTTATTTGATCTCTGGCCTTGACGTTATATGCTGTTTATTGTCTCATAAAAGAATGAATTATGTTATTATACACAGGCACTTGCAGGCTTTGGTAGTGATGTGAAACGTAAGCATTGATGCAAATATCGTGTTTGTCAAAAATTCGAAATTATGTTAAGATTATATTCTCAGATTTATAATCACAAGTAGAATTACCCGAATTGGCCAAATGGAAATAAAGGATGAGTAATATGAATCGCTAGAACCACCGGGATGGATCCATGGGTTGGTTTAGGTTTACTGAAATGCGAGCCCTGGAACGTTTTTTGGTTTGTTTGTTGTTTAACGCCGAACTCAGCAATATTCCAGCTATATGACGGCGGTCTGTAAATAACCGAGTCTGGACCAGACTATCCAGTTGTCGATACCATGAGCATCGATCCATGCAATTGGGATCGATGACATGCATCAACCAAGTCAGCGAGCCTGACCATTCGATCCCGTTAGTCGCCTCTTACGACAAGCATAGTCGCCTTTTGCGGCAAGCATGGGACAACGTCTTCAATGTTTACTCACTTTCTGTTCTTCAGTTCCGTCTCTCAGATTGTCAAGTGGCAATCGGGTAGCCTTGTGGTTAAGGCGTTCGCTCGTCACGACTAAGACCCGGGTTCGATTTCCGACATGGGTACAATGTGTGAAGCCTATTTCTGGTGTCCCCTGCCTTGATATTGCTAGAATATTGCTAAAAGCGGCTTAAAATCATACCCACTCACACTCATTCATCTTGTCACGTTATTATAACGTTTCATTGTCATGTTTAGCTGCTCTTGGAACAAAAGAAAGTATACATCCATGTTTTATGGTGGCTCAAACGATGATGGTGATGTATTTAATACAGGTTTCATAGTTGTGTTTTGGATCTTAAGTTTGCTGTGTTTCGGCGACTGTTTTCAGACATAAGATAGAGACTACAAGATAGTGATTATATCAGTTGTTAGCGAAAAGGCAAGTGAAATGTTCTCCTGGGGAAACAGGGGAACAAAATGGTACATCTTTTGTAATCTTCAAAAACAAATATATTCCAAAGACGTTTACATTTTATCCAAATATCGGTTGGTTTTTTGTTGGTTTTTTGCATACTCAAGTCAACCTCATTATATAATAACAACATATTTTGATTTGTTCATACATCATGCATTGTTAGTTAGATGAAACATTATAATTGTGTTGAACTTTTGCCTATGGCCTATGAATAAATATTCATTGTGACAGTCAAAGAGTGATCATTATGAATTATCCAAAACGCATATTATGAATTTAGGCATCCGTATTGTTTGTTTATTTGTTTGTTTGTTTGTTTGTTTAACGCCGCAATCAGCAATATGCAAACTATATGACGACAAACTGTAAATAATCGCGTCTGGGCCTGACAATACAGTGATAGATATTGAGAGCAATACCGTCGAGGTACGATGACACGCAATCAACCGAACCTGACCATCTGATTCATTTGGTCGCCTCATACTACACACATAGGGGGGCACGGGTGGCCCAGTCGTCTAAGGCGCCGCGATTTGCTGTGCAGAGTTACGTCCCTTGAACACGCCAGAACCCTATGATTGTGGGTTCGAATCCCGGTTCGCCCCGATTATGTTTCTAGGTTTGTCAGCACCGTACCCGTGCTCGTGGATTTCACCGAAGTGGTAAACGTTTGAGACTTGCATCACTTCGGGCTTTCCTCTCACATTAAGCTGACACGCCGCGATATAACTGGAATACTGTTAAAAGCGGCGTTACATCCAACTCACTCACTCACTTACTCACTCACTCACTACACACATAGGACCCAGAAATCACACTGGGGGCTTCTACACTGACAGATGAAAGGTATCACCCGTCCAGACAAACACACTTATATAGTTGTATCGATTATGAATCAGCTGAAGTCTCAGGAGACAATTTAAAGACGAAGTTTGAGACCCTAAATGAATAGCTACAAAAGTATATACCACGAGTTTTACGCCCGTGGAAAAAGCAAATTTAGCCCACTAAAGTTCACTTATGTATCTCTTTTTTATTTTCAATTGATTCTGGGAGCTGATCATTTACAATGATGCCTGCTTCAAGTCTAATGATCCTGTGAACAAGAATCACAGTATTCATGTATCGCCCTTTTCATTTTCAATTAGGGAACTTGTAAATAACTGATCATTTATGCTGGTAGGAAGCGATGATACTTTCTTCAAGTCTTATTATCCTGAGAAAATGAATCACAATATCCACTTTCATATCTCCATGGTTATTTTCAATATTAACCTATCAGTTGGATATAAATATGAATTATCGCACATTATGAATTTAGACATCCGCATTGTTTGTTTGTTTGTTTGTTTGTTTGTTTGTTTTACACCGCACTGAGCAATATGCCAACTATATGACTCACTCCAACTCACTCACTCACTCACTCACTCACTCACTCACTACACACATAGGACCCAGATATCACACTGGGGGCTTCTACACTGACAGATGAAAGGTATCACCCGTCCAGACAAACACACTTATATAGTTGTTGTATCGATTATGAATCAGCTGAAGTCTCGGGAGACAGTTTAGAGACGAAGTTTGAGACCCTAAATTAATAGCTACAACAGTATATTCCACGAGAATTACGCCCGTGGAAAAAGAAAATTTAGCACAGTAAAGTTATCAGATGATCAAACATACAGAGAAGATAGCTTTTTTTGTTTAACGTCGCTTTGAACAGTATTCCAGTAATATCACGGCAACACAGCTTGGTGTCGGAGTAACGCCCGGAGTGAGGCTAATGATGATGCTGATGAGACGTTTACAACACGAACACCGTTATGGTGATGATAAACCAAACGTCAATGAAGCCTGAAGTAAGAAATGTATTTGCAGCCACATGACCCCTACCATGTTTGTAAGAATTGTGAATTTGTGCCGAAAAAAAGGAAATTTATTGATTTTCAAAGACAAGATATCAAAGATAATTACCCATCAACAGTTGTGAATTATACGATCGTAATTTAATTTAGTATTAGTATTCCAGTACTACCACGACATCACAGCTTGGTGTCGGAGGAGCGGAGACGTTAACAACACGAACACCGTCATGGTGATGATAAACCAAACGTCGCGTCAAGAATATTGCACTTACGAGAGTAAATAACTCACGCCAAATGGAATCTGTTTCCTCGGTTGATCGAGACCGGGTGTTCTCTGGCGTTGATGTTTTACGTTTTATAACGGCGTGCATGTAGGACATAGTCCATTCAGATACCATGCCGCAGTTTAACATAGATATCCAACTCAGACATTGTGTACTGACTCCGAGTTATATCAGAAAGTCAATACCAAGTTACATCTTTTAACGTCTTTTGGTATGACACTGCCAGGGGATCGAACCACCGACTTTCCGCTCTGCAGACAAGTACTTTATCCACATGACTACAGAGCGACAGTTGAAATGAAGAATGAAACAGGTAGATAGGACGTCAGAGAGAAGCTTGCTTTTTTAAGAAAATACATTCCGAAATGGAACCACCTACTGGAGTGCCAAACAAGTCTTCATGACACTGCGATGCCTGAACTTCATGTATTGAAACACATAATGACTCAACTTGTCCACAGGAGCCATTAAATCTAGTGTTCATTGAAATCCATTGTATAGCAAACTAATGAAGTATTACTAGTAGTTCTAGACTGTTACTATAGGCTATTATATACTCACAGAGTGCTGTTCAGACGCTCTTCATAATACAAGGTGAAGTTTGCATATGATACACATTTCGTGTCATTTGGATACTCGAAAGACATAAAGTTGCATCGTTAACACCAGCTGGAGGAAATTAACATATCATATTACATCATGGCTTAAATGTTGATACAATAAACACGCACAACCAAGTGGCGTGCACATTTTGTAACCAATCAGGCTTCCCAGGATGTGTCTGCTTATCCGCCATTGGTTGTTTGACAAAACATATGTAGAGGTTTGAGATGATAGCTGCACTATCTCTGGCGAGTCTCTGTTTGACTAACCAAATATTCAATGAACATTGTTCTTAATTTTCACCAAATAAAGTCAATGCCTATTTGGCAAAGGATAACTGTAATTTCAAAACGTATAATTTATGTGAAGGCATGTAGAGCATTTTAACGTCATCAAATATCATTAACACTATCAGGGGGTTTATGTTTACGCATTTTAACGTCACTAAGAAATGGCATGGCCTGTTAACATAAGCGGGGATTTAAGTTCAAGCATTTTAACGTCATCAAGAAATGGCAGGGCTCGTTCATATAAGCGAGGATTTAATTTCAAGCATTTTAACGTCATCAAGAAATGTACTTGCTCATGAACATTAGCGGGATTTATGTTCAAGCATTTTAACGTCATCAATAAATGACACTAGCAGGGATTTTTATCTTCAAACATTCTAACGTCATCAAGAAATTCCTTGCACATTAACATTAGTGCCATGCATGTTCATGTTGACGTCATCAAATGGCAGTAAAACTAGTAGAGCTTATTCTCAAAGATTTTAACGTCATCAAGAAATGACATGGTGCTAACATTAGCTGAGATTTATGTTCAAACATCTTTGCGTCATCAAATGTCATTAACACTAGCAGGAGTTTATGTTCAAACATTTAACGTCATCAAGTAATTGCATGTTCCCTTGACATTAGCGGCATTAATGTTAAAGCATTTAAACGTCGTCACATGTCATTACCACAAGCAGGGAGTTAATGGTCAAGCATATTAAAGTCGTCACATGTCATTGCCACAAGCAGGGAGTTAATGGTCAAGCATATTAAAGTCGTCACATGTCATTACCACAAGCAGGGAGTTAATGGTCAAGCATATTAAAGTCGTCACATGTCATTACCACAAGCAGGGAGTTAATGGTCAAGCATATTAAAGTCGTCACATGTCATTACCACAAGCAGGGAGTTAATGGTCAAGCATATGAAAGTCGTCACATGTCATTACCACAAGCAGGGAGTTAATGGTCAAGCATATTAAAGTCGTCCCATGTCATTACCACAAGCAGGGAAGTAATGGTCAAGCATATTAAAGTCGTCACATGTCATTACCACAAGCAGGGAGTTAATGGTCAAGCATATTAAAGTCGTCTCATGTCATTACCACAAGCAGGGAGTTAATGGTCAAGCATATTAAAGTCGTCACATGTCATTACCACAAGCAGGGAGTTAATGGTCAAGCATTTTAAAGTCGTCAAATGTCATTTACAAAAATTCAATACAAAACCTTTATTCTGTTGTGCTGCAAAGATGTTGTGTTAAAAAAAATTAACGTCATCAAGAAATCTTATTGCTCCTTAACATTAGTGGGATATATATATATATATATATATGTTCAACTATGTTAACGTCATCAATTGTCATTAACACTAGTAGGGTTTTGTTCAAGCAATTTAACGTCATTAAGAAATGACATGTCTCAACTTTAGCGGGGTTTATTTTCAAGCATTTTAGCGTCTTCAAATGTCATTAACACAATCAGGAGTTTATGTTCAGGCACTTTAACGTCATTTTATAAATGCATTGATCCTTAGGGAACGACCGTTTGATAATCGGGGTGTGGGATTTTGTATCGAGATGAGATATTTTTACAGCGACAGGTACAAATCCAGATATAAAAAAATATATTTCAAATGTCATTAACACAAGCATAGGTTTATGTTCAAGAATGTTTTTAAGAATTTTAATGTAATCAAGAAATGTCCCTGCTCTTTACCATTAACGGGGATTTACGTTCAAAATAAACAGTGTATTCGTTGAACGTTTAGCGTAGACTATTTCCAATGGGACACGGGGTTTTTTTTGGTCTACAAAAATACCGCAAACAAATCAATTCAATACAAATGCTATATTCTTTTTCGCTGCAAAGATGCTCTCAAATATTAAGAGTATTATTAAATGAAAATGTTTAATTATTTACCATTAAGAAGGGTATTACGTCAAAAATAAAATAATTTGACCTTCGTGGGTTATTTTTTAAATCAACTTTGGCAACACGCCTCGATGGACGTATTGTCTATATTGTGATGATTTAGTACATTACAACCTATCGGTGGTCACTGTTTTTATCAAAACGCTCATATGTTTTATATCAAAAGACATTTTGGCAATATTCTCCATTTATATGAAAGCTGTCTCTACAACATGACATTAAAGCGTTTCCAGTGTCGACAAAACAACCCGTTTACATCACCTTCTGTTTGACAGTTTCTTTGTTCGCCACCCAGATGGCGCCAGTCACTCGGGAAAGTCAATAGAACAGCTTATAAATCTAACCTGGCCTTTCATGATTATAGTTATTTTTCATATACAATGAGATTGGTTCAATGAAGCCTGGGGTAAGAAATTTTCAGCCACATGACCCCTACCATGTTTGAAAGGTTGTAAATTTGTGCCGAAAAAAGAAAATTTATTGATTTTCAAAGACAAGTTATCAAAGATAATTACCCATCAACAGTTGTGAATTATGCGATTGCAATATAATTTCAAAAGTTTCAATAAAATTATATCTAAAACATAAAAACATGTAGAAATATTCTTTGAGTCTGCGTTAGTACCGTTCGTGTTTTATATAATATCGTTAACTTAAGAGGTTTTCAATTGAAAATTAAACATGTATAACATCAACTTATGAGTAAATTTTGTCATGGCCCCTCAGTTGATATATAACCAACAGCAATATTTCAGACCACGTTATCACTTTCATATTTGTTTTTAAGCCACATAATGATATTGACGACCCTCCCGGCTGTCGATAGTTGCAATGACTATTGAACTACACTGACTACACAAAAATCCGGTATATATATTGGATATATGTTATTGAAAAATGTTGGTGGCCTGATATTCGACAAACGGTGCGTCAAATCGCAGCCATTGTCGATTTGCAATGTCTTGAACGGCATTGTTTTCACACTTGTTCAAAAATGTCATGGAGGAAAATAGTAAAGCAAAATGCACGTGCAAGTTATGACATTCGTTACTCATGGTAGTGGCTATAAAAAGGCAAACATAAGCCAATAATTTGTCATTCAATTGTCAACATTTTTCAAGTTCGAATTCGGACGTATCCAAAGAGGGGAATCGCAGTCTTCTGTTCCACAAACTTCAACGTCCACCACAGCACCATTTGCCGCCTTTGGTACCGATACACACAGTTCAATTCCACTGCAGTCCGTCCGAGAACCGGCCGACCAAGAGTTACCACTCCTGCACTGGATCGCTACATTCGACGATTCCACCTACGTCATCGCAATGCCACAGCTACGGAGACTGCAGGACACATCCCTGGTTTGAGGAGGATATCGGACCAGACTGTCAGGAACCATCTTCGCGAGGCTGGAATCCGACCCAGAAGACCAGTTATCGTCCCTGTTTTGCAACAGATCCATCGACAGCGACGCTTGTGTTGGTGCCATACCTTACAGCCTTGGAATTTGAGAAACTGGAATCGAGTGTGGTTTAGCGATGAATACGATTTCTTCTTCACCGGCGAGATGGAAGACAACGTGTTTATCGGCGTTTTGCCCCACATTGTGTACATGAATTCGACAATTTCAGTGGCGGTAGTGTCATGGTGTGGGGGGCCATATCCTACACTAGGAGATCTGACTAGGTTGTGGTTCAGGGACATTTGACAGAAAATTGCAACATGAATCAAGTTCTTCAACCTCACCTTCTTCCAATCATTGATCGCCAGAGGGAGCTGTTTCAACGGGACAACGCTCCACCGCACACATCTCATGTCACGGTAGACTACCTTCATAATGCCAACATCAACGACTTGCTCTTGCCATCGAGATCTCCAGATCTCAACCCAATCGAACACCTCTGGGATGAACTCGATCGACGTGTACGTCAACGTCAGAACACGCCGCAGACACACCCACAACTGGCCAACGCCTTACAAGCAGAAAGGCGCAGAATTCCGCAGGACAGAATTCATACACTTATCCAGTCAGTGCCGAGGAGATACAGAGCCGTGATTGCTGCCCTGGGCGGTCACACGAGATAATGAGTTCAGCGCCACCTTGTGGCCTTATGTGACATGACAATGAACAGTTTTCAATACTTTTGTACAACGACAACATGTGACTATCATGCACCAAGATTTCATATTTGTATCTATGATAATAAATTAAATATATCGACTTTATTAGGTGCAATAAATTTACTAAAATTCTACCTGTGCGTTTCCTTTTTTGGAGAGTGTATACAGAATCACGTGTGCACAAAAAAGTTCAGGAGGTAAGGATGTAGTGAGTAATGAGTATGACTTACTGTTTCTACTAGATACACATTCAAGTATTCTTTACTCTCTCGTCTAGTGCATGAATGAGAGAGTATAGTTTGATGCCGCTTTTAGCAATAACCCTGAAATATCACGATTGGTGACTCACCAGAAATGGGCTTCACACATTGTTCTAATGTGGGGAATCAAACCCGGGAATGAGAAGACACGAGCGAACGCTTAAACCACTAGGCTACCCCGTCGTCACCTCCGTCGGCTAACGAGATCTGGTCCCGAGTAGCATGTGCTTGTAAATGGCGACTGAAGGCCGCTTGATCAGGATCCGTGACTTGTCTTGTCAACTTGCCCCCTACACCGTGGACCATTGCTCATACGTTTCAATCACTGCTTTGCGGTAGTATTGCTATTGCTATAGTATCGACTAAGGCGCCGCAATTAGCTGTGCAGAGTTGCGTCCCTTTGGCCCGCCAGAAATCTATGATCGTGGGTTC